GGGTGGGTCCGAGTAGCGTTGAAAGCAGACCACCAACCAAGCCGCCGGATGAGGTAGGCTGCACAATCGACTCAGGAACACCACCTGTGGATCCAGGGACGATGAAAGGCCCCTGGAAGCTGGATGCGGCAGGAGAGCTTGGTGCAGCAGAAGAAGCAAGAGACGCAGTGGGTGTCACGATAGTCTCTGGGATGCCTCCAGTGGAGCCGACAGCTTGCTGAGATGACTGGGGAGCAGTCGATGAGACTACCTGGGTAGGTTGGACAACAGATGTGGGTACACCGCCAGTAGATCCAATGATTGGGTTGAGAAGCGTTGAGAGAAGTCCACCAACGAGACCAGCAGAAGTTGTTGTTGCAGTAGGTGTGTCAACGGCTGACGAAGATGGCTGCACAATAACATCCGGCAGTCCACCTGTCGAGGCAGGGGTGTTCTCAACACCAGGAGGCGTCGAGGTTGGCTGTGCGATAGCTGAAGTGGGCTGCACGATGGTCTCGGGAATGCTACCGGTAGAAGGCGCTGGCTTGCTGTCGACAGCGGAGGATGACGGTTGTACAATCACGTCAGGCAGTCCTCCCGTTGGGGCTGCCGCTGAGCTCTGAGCGATCGAAGAAGCTGGGGTGTCTTCAACGGCGGTCGAAGAGGCCGCAGCTGAGCTTTGGACAGTGGAAGTTGGTGGAACGATGATCTCAGGTAGGAGGCCAGTGGAGCCGAGGATAGGACCGAGAATAGGGCTGTCAGCCTTGGTAGAAGATGCGGCGCTGCTTTGGGCGGTTGATGTAGGCTGCACAATAGTCTCGGGGAGACCACTGGTAGTGCCAATCTCGGCCGTTGGAGAAACAGCGGTTGTTGGCTGAGGTTCGGTGATAGGCTCGGATGTGGTGGTCTCAACAGGCTTCTCGCTTTGCGCTGCTTCAGAAGTGGACGTAGGAGCAGCTGTAGACGATGGCTCAGTGACTGATTCCTGAATTTGGCTTGATGAGCTAACGATGGGGCTCGACGATTCGACTGCAGAGCTCGATGCCGCAGGTGGTGGCGGTGAAAAGACACTGCTTTCTGAGAGAGGTGCGGTAGAGGAGCTCTCTGCCAAAGCGGAGGACAAGGTGCCAGTGGTGTCTACGTCGCTGGTGCTGACAAGCACATCTGAGGATGAGGCAAGAGCCGATGAATCGGAACTACCGCGGAACAGCGATTCAATGAAGGACGGGAAGTCCATCTGGCGGGACGAGAGTTGCTCAGTAGTGCTGCTGGACGAGTAGCTGGTTGATGGCTCTGGGGTAGCCGCAGGGGTCGTCGCATTGGTAACGATTTGTCGCTTTACGTGCCTAGCGAAGTAGTATCGGGGACGGCCTTGGGTTTGTTGTGGTCCCGGTGCAGGCATGGCCTCTGCTGTCGTAAGGAGCGGGCCAGAGCCAGAGAGACTGGCCAGAACCAGGGCGGCTGCCCATACTGTCGTTGAGCGAGGCATTGTTACGATTATGATGCCTTGTTATGTAGAATTAGATATCTCGAGAGTCTCGAAGGCAATGTACGTGGAAGCCTGCTGTTATTAGCCATGGCGTTTGCAGTGTCAGTAGCACAACATACTGTCAGGGCTATGGTAAACGAGTGTACTTGACGAGTGTCAATGATGGTAAAGAATGGACCTGTCGCATGTTAGTCTCCATGGAGAAAGCGCGTCGCTGAACTGGGTGACTCACTAGACTGTCGATGCAGCTAGGATTAGATGGTTGCACAGGCGAAGCGATTACTGCGTCGTCGCGATGTTCTCGGGTTGGTCGCGGGACTATGCTGTCATGTTTGACACTGACAGGTACCGGAGAATAGTCGTCGCGTGGGTCTAGAAGCACGCGGTACCGAACCAGGGCCGATCAGAGACTGGTACGCACGTGGATGACAGCGAGCGGGCAGGCAGGCGACAAAGAATCGTAGGAGTGGTCGAGGCACTCTAAGCACGATTCGCAGCGATTGCGTTTTCTTTGTTCCTGAGCAGCGGGTGGCCGTGCGTGTCGTAAGTGGTCAGCGGGGCTGGGACGCGTTTTCGTGGACGGTGCGGTGCTAAAACGAGCGGCGACGACGTTGATAGGCAACGGTCAGATTACTAGTAATTGCGGCGACGGAGCGGAATTGCTTTTGAAGGAGTGGTCGTGATTCGGAGAATCGTGCAAGGGAGCGTGAGGCCTGGGCGACGTGGAGAGCGGTGCTTGACGGTCGGAGGAGAGAGCCACGGGGAGCCACGGGCGGGAGATGCGCAGAGTCGATATATGAATGCGCCCGTTTGGGGGTTGTCGGCGGGTGGTGGAGAAGAGGTCGGCTTGGGGCGTGGGCGACGGGTAGTGAAGAAGAAGAGAAGACAGGGCGCCGGTCAGCAGCAGCAGTCGCCCAGGTGTCCAGGCCAAAACGGCGGCAGGCAGGGGCGAGGGGCGGAAGAGGGAAAGCGCCGTGGGCTGCGAGTCGCCAACGTGTGCTCCCTGCAGGAGAACCAACTGCCCACCACTAGTGCCAGTGTCCAGGACGGGGAAAGCCAGGGTTTCGCGCGGCGGGCCTCTGCATTCGATAGTCGCAAAATAGAACGGCGCTTGCTGCAGAGGGGAGTAGTTCGCTATTGACGTCGCGGGTGGATACGATGGGAAGGTTATGTGACAGGAGACAGCAAGACTTCAGAGGCTGCGACGACGAAAAGGCGAAGCGGACATTGTGTCTCCATCAGCAGCAGATTGCGCATGCCGCCACGGTGCGCCTGTGGATTAATTTGCATCTGGCCGCGAGGCCCTGGTCGTGCAGACGGCTGTGAGCTCAAACCGCACTAGCCAAGGGTAATACATATATACCCCGGCTGTGCTACCGTATAGCCCAAGACATGGAGTATCCCTTGCCTACGACACGGCGACTGAACCCTCAATTTCGAGGAATTTGGAGGCGGCCGCCTGCGCAGTGTTGATGTCCATCTCCAGCGCCTTGCTCCCCACCGTTCGATGCGCACGCTGCTGAGGAAGGAACGGCCATCAGGCGGCCAATAAGAGAAGGCGCAGCCCTTGCCCTTGCCCTTGCCGAGCCCTTCATTTCGGCATGACACGGGTCCCGCTCGCATGCGAATGATGATGATCGCTCACCACGCCGCCTCATGCTGCACCCAACCCCGTGGACATGCTTTGATTGTTCGCTCAGAAGCAATATCGCGGCACCTTCCTGGGCCCTGCACACTGTTATTCCAACGTCTCTACCGGCTGACTGTAGGAAACTGCAGGGCTGCGTATCGCCTGCAGCCACCCAATTCCTTCGCTGAGCAAGCCATTTTGCCGGCCTGTGTCCACAGTCATTCCGAAGTGCGACCAACTACTACCGTACCACGCTATCGTTTTTTGACAGCCATGTGCGCTTTGCCTGCATCGTCCAGGACTGTCCTCTCGACGACTCGCCAAAGTTCGTCCTAGGGCAGACGGCTGGTTTCGACTTCTGCTCGCCGCCTCCACGCCTACGCCCCAGCGAACGACATGAACTTTACAGCGCCCTAGGTTCGAGGTAGCCCCTGTCCGTGGCTAGCCTTCACTTGGACTGCAGCCTCGACATCGGCTGCTGGTACCGGTACTTTCTGACTGGACTGTCCTTCATCTCTCAAGTCAGCATGGCCTTGACTGACGCCATTCCATCAGCGCCTCAGATGCGCATTCCGTGCTCTAACGTTTCATGTCTCTCGGTCTGCGACTATGAACGCCTGCCACAGCTATATTTGGTTGTCTGTCGACGTTCTACAAACATTCCACCTGGCGGGTGCCGAGGCTCGCCTTGTCATCGGGTCATCGGGTACTGTGACTCGTTTCAAGCTCCTGCGTAGCACTGTACGAGGAAGGTGTGAATCCAACCCACAGGTCTGAGCCGATCCAATGGTCCAGCCAATGCACCGCGGCATCGGGCTGTCTCCTCGTTTCCTGGGATTCCCCTTTCTGTCGCTTGGCTTTACCATTTGGTCGAGACCAACATACCCGTAATTCAAAGCATCGCAAGGAGACTTCCGCCGCCACGGTTAAACATGTCGACGGCTGATCTTTTAGATCTGAACAGCATGCACGCGCTTTGCTGTGCTGTGCTGTGCTGTGCTGGGTGACATTCCAACACCGTGAGACCACCCTTGCCGGCATGCGCTTGAACGTTTCGAAACCATTCCTGCCGACTAGAAGAAGAACATTGCTTAACGATCTGAACATATAGCCCCAGGCCCCGCCTCTGCATTGGGCACGGTTGCGATCGTCATTTTCATGCTATATTTCTGGTCCTACTGTATACTGTTTGCAGGCTACAACTGCTCCGGAGTACACAAGGTTGAGGCTGCATTTCACCTTATGCTCGGCTTCCACTGTTGTTTCCTGTCAGATCCACATGCCGCAGCCTCTCGCAGGGTCGTTGTTTATGGATCTTGTCTCCCGAAACGCGTTCTGTGTCGCTTCCACGAGGATCGGTGGGGCATGACGGCACGCATGAACCTAAAATCTCTATCTCCACTTTGGTGGCCAAGCACTCTTGTAACCTGGGCATTACCGGCTTCCAGAAGCCACCCATTGGACTTCTGTATATGGTTTGCACGATATGTGTCTCTGTCTGCTGTTTGTGGAGTGCCACTGGGGATGAAGAGACAGCACGTAAACCTTGACATCGTGTTGAGGCATACAAACAGTACATGTTACGTGTACAACGAGGAGAGGTGTCTCATGACGTGGCAATCGTTGCAAGTTACCGAAGATCTACGAGAAGAGTTTGCTCGCCTTCTGCGAGCCCTTCACCAACAACTGCTGCATTAACACTCGTCATAGTCCGTCCATTCGCTGCTCTTCCCAACATGCAGAGTACCCACAGCCAGACCCAGCAAGCCAGCATCCTCAGGACGACGACGCGTCCTTCTTCGCCACAACATACAGCGTCATAGTCCCACTGTAGCCATCCCCAGTCACTACACTCGACGCCCCTTCCTGAGTGAATATGCCCGCAGACATGGAGTCGCGGCTTCACACGCCAAAGTTCCCGCTGAAGATGAGCACAGCCCTGCAAGTAAGATGGGTTCGCGGATGAGTCGAGGTGGCCTTTGGCAGGGCCATGCGTGACGAGTATGTCCGTCGCCTCCGGGACAGTGTTTGACCATATGTCTTTTGCTTGGTATTGGAACGCCCAGTTGCCGTATTTCGGCGTCATGGGACTTCCATAGACCTTGACGTCCCTGTCCCGAACGTTGAGCACCCTCAGCTCGTTCTCGAGGTATACTACACTTCCCCATTTGAGATCTCGCAGTCTGCGTTCATCATTCTCTCGGCTTGCAAGTCGTGGGTTGCGGCGAAAGAAGGACTGATCGAGAAGCAAATCGTGATTCCCTGCTATGACGATCTTGTGTTGGTGTGGCAGACTGTTCAACCAGTCGAGCTGTAACTGCAGCTCTTCAAATGTGCCGTTGACTGTCAGATCGCCGGCGTGGATCAAGATGTCGCCGTTCGGTACATGCGGCTGCTCATTGTGCGTATCGGAGATGCAGATAACCCTAACACGGATCGTAGAAGCGGACTTCGATGTTGTGGACGCGGGCTGTGATATTGTCGAAAGCGGTCGGTGAGCATATAACCACTGTGCGATGAAGAGTATTGGATCCTGCTGTATACGCTGCCATGCTGATGGCAGCGCGGGCGCGAACATGTTGGACTTGCCAAACGTAGACCTTGTATATGTGGTTGTCATGTTGTGATGTAATGTGTAGTTCAAGTCGCTACGGGAGTTCGTTCATGTAAGCAGCTAGACGCATTTTCTGGGCAGCAACAGAATGGATAAAGCCACATGTGATGGTGGTGGTTATGTCGAATTGGGGATGGAGATTTCATGATTGACAAAGATCTTTGGTACCAGCATCCATGGATTGGTTCAGCAAAACATGACAAACGAGAAAATCCGCACCAGAACCATCCGAATCAATGTTCCCACTTCTCCGCCATCGGCACTATAGCCACAGCAGTCGCATAGTCTCCATCATGGCTGATACTAATCTCGCACAGCTGCCCATCGATCTCGCTCATATCGATCAGTCCAATTTTGCCGTCAGGCTTCACCCAGGTTGGCTCGAAATCCTCGTAGACCATATCTAAGATCAAGCCCTGGGGCCGAAGCGATTGGTGCTTACTGCGATCGACCGCGGTAACAGGGAGAATCATGATATGCTTGAACCCTCTTTGAACAATGTCGAGGTGTTGAATTGCTTTGCGGCAGGCTTCTTTCGCTGCGAACCTTGTATCACGTAAGCTCCTGGTTGGGAGATTAAGCTGATGCGAATACTCACCTGCCAGCGAGAAATTTGGAGATTACATCTGCCTTGTCCAATACGGATTCTTCGGGCCCAAAGCGATTCCAGAAATACTGACGCTCGTGCTCGGTAAACACTCGCTTCAGGTAGTGACGCAGAGGTCGCAGAGGCTCGCCTTCGCTGCCGGTACGGGGCGTGATGATGGATAGCACTCTTGGGACATTGCAGATATCGGTGCCCACTCGGAAGGGGAAGGGAAAGGCTCGCGGTGGCATGGGATGTTAGATAGCAGCTGTCCAGATTGGGGAGGGTATATACGCCAAGATGGGCTTGGCAGTCAAAACAATGTTGTTGGAAAGCGCAAAAATTAGACCTTCAGTCAAAGACCTGCAACCCTCCATGCGCAAAAAGATCGACGTTGGCCAGATTCGAACTGACGCTCCCGAAGGAACAAGATTTCTAGTCTTGCGCGATAACCACTCCGCCACAACGCCCCCGTTTTTGCTGCTATTGCTGCTTCGATGAAAGGCGGTGGATTCAAATATTTTATATACCAGTTATTCACAGTTCCGGACTATGCGTAGATGTGGTGGGGTGGAACCCAGAAGCCTGGTGCCTCCACACCTCCACCCAGGCAGTCATGATTCCGAACGACCCCGCCCGCTTACTGTTCTTCGCAGACTGAAAACCCAATCTTGCTCCGTCCAAGACCCCAAGTCATCATAGTTGACGTTGGCATCGTCATGGGCGGCAAAAGGCCCGATGTCAAAAAGTTTCGATTGTTCGCCTGATCCCGCGAAGAGCCGCAACGTTGCGTTTCGGACATGAAGATGAGGCGGGAACAGAGAAACTCCCCGCAGCCACCGGATTCCGACGACCAATAATCCTCATACCGCCACGCGTTCCATAGCTTTGATTCGCTTGCGCACCCATTACTACCCGACGCGGAGTACGGTCAACGGCCAGAAGTCTGCTACACGTCAGTCTTGGTACTCGATGAAAACGGCCCAAACCCAATTCAATGGTTGTGTAGGTAAGGGGACCTGGTGCGTGCGACACCTAATCTGGGATCATGGTGGTTGTGCATGGCCGTATGCTTCAAGCTACGTTGGCTCGCCTTTGTGGAAGTCCGGCCTTGGAACAAAGAGCTAGGGTGCCAGGGCTGATGTGCATGCGGCCATATTCTGGTGAGACGATGCTGATGGGCTGTGGTGTTATGCGGTGATGTTCAAATGTGCTTGGTCTCCTCGGTGATTATTCTCCTACGAGCTCCTTCCATCAACTGCACCGTTCAGAAGTGCAGTTACGCCTGCGAAACCAGGACTGATGCAGCCACAAACCTCTCCACGCCTACCCGGCGTCCCCATCCTAAAACTAGACTCCAGCGGGCCGGAGTACTCTCGCTGGCGACGCAGTCTCCAGTTCGCGCTGGAATCGAAAGATACTTGGAAATACTGCAATGGCGCTCTACCCATGCCTATGCCAAAGGCACGGCCAGTTCCAGCCATCTCCTCAGAGGAAACGAAAGACGTAGAGCCGAGCCTGCTCGAGGAGCGAAGAGCATGGGTTCGACAAGATCGCGAGGTCAAGCTGGACATGTTTCTTTCCGTGGCAGAAGAAGTGATGCACGAAGTCTTCGAAGTCGGGCCACCCCTACCTCCCATCAACCACACTTCGCAAGAAATGCTGCAAGCATTGGACGATAATTTCGGTGTCTTCAGCTTTTCTGGATACCACCACGCATTCTGCCACTTCCTGAACCTGCACATCGACCAGTACGCAAGCATCCAGGACTTCAACACTGAATTCACGACGGTACTAGAAGATCTGATCGACTACGGCCATCCACTCTCCAACACACAAGCATGCAGCGCGTACCTCTCCAAGCTGCGATGTACGCAGAACCCGGGGGTAGCGAAGAAGTTGGAGGAGTTGGACACACTGTCAACAGAACCGGACATCCACGACCTCATGCAAGAGTCACTTTCGTGGCCATGTATCCGCCCACTAGCGACGAAGTCCTCTCAGGTATTTCAGGTGCAACCGGTGTCAGAGGAGTGCCGTACGGATAACGGAAGTCACTCCCATGGCGACCCACCTGGTCTCTCAGACACCTCCACCGTATCGTCCGAAGGTTCCCGTTCAAGGCAGCTATCCATAAAGGTCAACCACCCGCAGTGGGCGGTTACGCGCGCTTCTGATAACGTCGACCCGCAGGACCTGCGTGAAGCAATCGAGAAACTACTCACCACGGGCGAAGCGGATCCTTCCAGCCTGAATTACGATGCATCAGCGATATCAGCATGCGCAACCCCGGATTGGTTGAAGGCACAAGAGAAGGCATTCTCCAAGCCACTTCCGATAGCAGAGCCACCGGCCCCTACTGAGTCACATACTCTACGAAAGACCGCCTCCGAGTCGCGCGCGCGATCCGCTTCACCACGGCTCCTGTCTCCACTGTCCAGAACCGTGTCGCAAACAAGTCTGACTGTACCAACCATGACGACGCGTCCACACTCCGCAGACACATCAGCCAGGTCATCCCAACACGTTCAGCGACAACCCAGGCCACCAATGTCAGTGTGGAGAGCACCAACATATCCGCCACCAGCACTGTCTGACCACCCGGCTTTCCGAGACAATCCCTTTCTACCCAAAGAGCGTGCGCAATCAGATTCCCTCCTTGTGGACGCGAGTAGACCTGAGCCTAGACCCGACGACTATGAACCACCTCATTCAGCACCACTACCGCACCCATACCAGTACTCGGCTTACTCGTCAAACAGCAGTAGCGCGATAAGCTTGCCCATCCAAGGAACGAATGAGTCGTCATGGAGCTACGGTAGCAACAACAGCGATGACATAGAAGAACACATACTATCGCCCGTCGCATCTTCCATGCTTCTCCCACCCATGGAGGATAGGTTCGTTACGATACAGCGAAACAATGCCCCTCTCCCGCCTCTACCCATAGACACGAACGTCCTACAATGGCGCACTCCAACTTTCGACGATCTTGTCCCGCCGCCACCCCCGAAAAAGAGCCGTCTGCGCAAAACGTCTTCGACTCTCGACATGTTGAAGCGGCTCAGTGGAGACAGTCTCCTGGAATCGAGTGACGAGGTACGGGAACGTGAGGAGAAGAAGCGTCGGGAAAAGGAGAGAAAGGGGAAAAGCTGGAGTATTGGCAGTATTGCGAGGTTTACGCATAGCAAAGGGGTTAAATAGACGCATTGGTTTGCGATAATGATGACTATGGTGCGTATGATGAGAAAATTGAAGATGTGCCGGACGGCTACTGTTCGTCTCACTGCTTGTATGGGTGTTTATTCCTTTGTCGTCAGGTGGACCGCTGGAGCTGTATACCCTATGTGTTGATTTGAACATATCATTCTTTTGTCTGCTATCATGTATGCCACACCGAGTCTCATGAATGTGACTGTCCAGAGACCCTTTATTCGTTGTGTCTGCCGAAGCGATGTATTTGTACAGTCTTTTAAGTGTTAGACCAGAGGGGGGAAATGGCATCACATCCGGATGTTCAATAGCGGACTTTAATAGTCTAGATGAGGGGAGGACTGGTCTATGATAGATTCTCCATCCCAACAGTACGGCTTGGTCGCCGTCTCGTATAATCGTAACACATTAGAGCTTCGGCCAGTCGTGGCTAGCAAGACTCCTGAAAACCTCTACAAGGTGCTATGCCTCCACCCTACTGTGTCTCCCTCACAACCTTGTCGACAGCCTTCGCAAAGTAGTCGACGTTGTGTGTGTTCAGGCCAGCCATGGAGATACGACCGTTCTTGGTCATGTACACATGGGAGTCTTCCCGGATCTTCAGAACCTGCTGCTCTGTCAAGCCGGTGAAGCTGAACATGCCAATCTGCTCTGTGATGTGGTTCCATGTGCCGGGTGTGCCCATGTCCTCGAGCTTGCTACGAAGCGCCTTGCGCATCTCCTTTATACGACCAGACATTGTGCGGAGGTTGTCTTCCCATTCAGCGAAGAGCTGGGGGTCGTTGAGGACGGTCGAGGCGATGCGGGCACCGTAGGCAGGAGGATTCGAGATCTCGGAGCGCTGGAGGATGGCGAGCTGTGAGGCGATGCGCTTGATGGTGGACTCGGCATCGGATGAGGGCGAGGTGACGAAGTGGAAGCAGCCTGCTCGCTCGCCGTACAGACCAAAGTTCTTTGCGTAGGACTGGGCAATGCAGAGCTCGAAGCCCTGCTCGACAAAGTAGCGGATCGCCCAGCCGTCAGTTGCAAGGTCACCGGAAGCAAAGCCCTGGTATGCGGTGTCGAAGAAAGGGAAGTGCTTCTTTGACTTGATCACCTCGGCAATCTTCTTCCACTGCTCTTGTGTAGCGTCGACACCGGTGGGGTTGTGAGCACACGCGTGCAGTACGATGATGCTGCCCTCTGCCGCATCTTGCAGGGCACCGAT